CCCCTGCATCTTCTGCACCTGTCGCAGTTCGGGAGCCTGGAAGCTGCCACTGCCCAGCCCGGATGGAGCAAGTGTAGTTGGTAGGGGGGGGTGGCTAGTAGTAGTAGTAGTAGTAGTAGTAGTAGTAGTTTTAACAGTAGTAGCAACCGTAATAACAGTAGTACTTATAGTACTGGTAGTCTTTTGATTTTTCGTGTCAAAAAAAAAATTTTGTTGCGAAGAGGTGGCGGCGGCGGCGATGGTGGTGGCGGCGGTGGTGGTGGTGCGGACTGAATTTGTTTGGGGGGGCATTGAACCGGAGGAGGGGGGTGATGGCGGTCTTGGGCCTCAACAAAAGGAAAGACGGGGAAGGCTGGTCAAAACCCCAAGCTTCAAGCTACCGCTCCCACAAGATCAGTTCCCCCGCACTTTGGTTTGCCTTAGCTGATTGACCAATATTGACCACAGGACATGGAAATGACTCGGCGTCGTGCTACAAAGCTGCTGTCGCAGTTAGATCCTGCACTACTCGACGAGCCTGAGGCTGAACTTCGTGGTGTTCCTGGTTGATGCATTTCGTCGGCAAGTCATTGTTGAGCGGCTCCAAGGTTCATCCGAATGGACGTGGCTTTGCCACGGTTATTGGCAAGCACCAGCGGAGGCCCTGTAGCCCGCTGCATGTAGCTTGTGAGAAAGCTGCTGGCATTTGGTGCTGTCCAGGTTGGGTTGGGGTGGTGGAAAGCGAGGGCCGGATCGTCGAGCGAAAGGTTTCTGTGACTGAGGCACCGTACCCGGCCTTTTTGGCAAGTAAGGAGGCTGTGGTAGCTGAAGTTTGAAGCTGTACAGTGTACAGGCGCGAACAACGGATGCCGTCCTCCGCGCAGGCGCCGAGGCAGGCACGACAAGCTGCATGATTGTCATGAATGTACAAAGTGGAACTACAACCGGCGTCTCTTAGCAGTCAGGCGCCAGTATCAGGTTTGCAGGCTCGAACCTGCTCTTTGCAGAGCGAGGGCAGGGCCGTGAGGCTCACGTTTGAAACCTTCATGCCGGGTTGGTTGAAACGCGCGAAAGCCTAATTAACACCGCTCTAAATCTGAACTTGAGCGCACCACCAGCTTCCACGGAGATGCACCAGACTGTGCCGTGATCAGGTGGTATCGAAGAGTGCCGTGCTCCGGCAAGCTGCTGAAACGGCCCGAAGAGGACGCGGCTTGCGCTTTCCAAAGTGCAAGCCGAAAGAAGTGATTTTGTTGGGCAGGCTCGTCGCAGCTGCCGCTGCCTGCATTTTCCTCCAACGACGAAGTGCCATTGGCCAATGACCCAGAACGCTTCCTAGGTGATGCAACAGTGAAGTAGGCATAGTGGCTGAGTTTATTTGCCTCGAGGATGCTTTTATACAATCTCTGAAGCAATAGGGGTGCACGTTCTAAAGACAAAAAGCCTGGCTGCAACAGCTCATGTATCCCCGCACTTCGAATTGCATGTGAAGAGTCGCAGAGGCTCGGTTTGTTTGCACGCACAGGCCCTGCGCTGGAAGAGTGACACTGGCAGCCGCTCTTTTTTCGACAGGCGCAGTAGCAGTAGCTGCTTTCAGAAGCCAACCGCACGTGCAGCAGCGCAGATCTCATGACTGTCCAACATTCATGCGCAGCACAACTGTCCTCACTACCCTCCGAGCTGCTCGCAGCAACCTCATCCATATGAGGTGCTATGTAGGGCAGGGCAGAGAACACGTTTGCTTGCGCACTTCGACATGGCACAGGCCCCAAGCATACTTTACGGAGGACATCCTTGTTGAGCTGAGCCTTGCATCCGTTTCCAGGACTGCTTCAGGGTTTGACGACACTCTCAAGACAACCTGCAGAAAGTCCCCTTGGGACCTCAGCACAGGCTGTGGAATGGCCACTCCAAGGGGAACGTGTTCAGCTGGCGTTACCCAATCAAACATGCGTTTGCCGTCCCATACAAACACTGCCATCATGAGAAGGGGTCACAGTACATCGGACGCAGGACGGTGATTGCAGGTGCACCAGCTGTGGCCGTTACAATCCCGCAACGGCAGTTTGTCTTCGTCACAAGGCCTGCTCGTGTTTGATCCTTTGCAAGTTTAGCTCACGACACTACCATACTCTACCCATCAGAAGATTGCTTCAGATAAGGCTCCAGATCGTTTGATCCAGGTCTGCGGAAGAAGCGGACAAATGGGCAGCGTCACTGAGAGCGCCAGTCAACTCAGTAAATCAGAGGGGCGTTTCATTGTGATTGCAATGCCCTCTTCTCCCCGCAAGGAGTCCGAGCCCAACAAACACGCCAGCCGCCACTGCAAGTCCCAGTCCCTGGAAAGACAGGCAACCTTTAGCAACCTTTGGTGTTCCTGAGATGACTGTCACTGTCGTCATTCCCATTGATCTCGCGACACTTTTTCAATCTGTAGCTTCACAACTGAGATTAATGGGAAGCTACGCAGTCCATGAGAGCTCAAAGAAACCAAGCCTAGCTGAGGAAGTGATCTGTGTGCAAACCAAGCCAGGCTTCGTCGATGGCCAATGAACCGTCTCGTGTGCAACGATTTCGAGCTGTGCTTGGATGTTTGCAAGGCCTTCGTGTTGCAAATTGGCGTTTGCTACTTCACACTGTAGTGGTTCGGCGCTCTTTGCAGTTGCAGGTTGAGTTGGCTTGCAAGTCGCAGCATGTCGTAGCTTAAACTGGCTCAGTCAGGACCCGCTCTCATTGCCAGGGCCTCGCGCGAACTGCACGCTTCAAGCGCGTGCTTATGTTTCAAGCCGGTAAACCGTTTCTTTCTGCGGCGACCAGGTCTGCGGAGTTGCTTCGGCTTGCAATCAGCATCTGCCCAAGGTATGTTGAGGTCGAACATTTAAGCATCGATCGCACCTTCTGCTTGAGGCGCGCAAGGGAGTCCCCCTGACAAAGTGCAAATGGCTCAGAGGGACGCCGCTGGGGAGACGGGTTTGTCAAACTCGATGCAAGATGATTTCAATCCCAAGGTCTGCTGTCACGCAGCTGAGCTGCAAGCTGAAAACCGTCGATCTCACGCCGCTAGATCCGCAGGACTGATTGCCGTGTTTGTCCAAGAAGCGCAGCAGCAGAGGGCAAAGTTAGTTGTCGATTGATAGGCGTTTCCTTTTGCTCCATTCAGAGCAGACTGATTGAGAAGGACCTGTGGGGCTTTTGGGCACCGCCCTCAAGCCTTTTCAAGAGCTTATGGGCCGCGGCATGCCGCGGCTCTGGAGTGAACATCTAGCGGCACTTCACTGTTGTCGGGTCTCCACTGGTGCTTAGTGCTCTAGAACTGCTGGCAGCTCGCAGCGGAAGGCAGCCGCAGCTGCCAAAAGAATCATGCGCCGAAATTGCGAGGTTAATGTGTATCACAGCCTCCTGGTACACTCGTGCGGCCTTTATGGACGCCCAAGAACCTTGAGGCAGCATTTGCCTTTGCAAAGTGTGACTACTTCTGTTGGTTCCGAACTGGAGCCTGCCAGGTCTCTTCTGGGATTTTACAACAGCTGTTCATACCTCGTCGCTGGCCAAATCTTCTCTCTTGCAGAGATTGAACATCTCGCACGGCACTCGGACGAGCTTCACGATGTTTCACGCATCTCTCATGTCCTTTCCTATGCTGCAAGCATGGCCAGCATGAAAGATGTATTCGAGATCATTTTACACAATTATCTCCAAGGTGCTGCGAAGCCAGATGCAGAAAGCTAGCACACGACTTATGACGCTGCTCGTGCGCGCAGCGACCTCAGCATGGTCGAGCTGCATGGCTGGTTGATCCACGCAGGGCCGAAGGTGTCAGCGCAGTGACTTGACGATGTGCGGTATTTTGGCTCCGGCACCAGTTCTGCAAACGAGCTGGGAAAGTAATGCAGGTTTGGCGCCGAGAATCTTCTGAGCTTGAGGCCAGTGGTGTGAACATGCCACAGAGGTATAGAGAGAGAGAGAGAGAGAGAGAGAGAGAGAGAGAGACAGACAGACAGACAGAGAGAGAGAGAGACAGACAGACAGAACCGTAGCCATTTTGGCTCAAGTCTCTCACCTTTGTGGAAACCCCGGCTGTCAACCGGGGGGGCCTGGTGGGGTGGCTTGAGGCCACCTGCCGCAATATTCGGCTCACAGAGGCCCCTCTCAGATTTCCGCTAAGCCCCGCCTTGAAA